ACCGTTTTTTGCATCAATAATGTTTCTGGAGATTCTGGCAAAACTAAACAGTACATTAAATATCTAGATATTGCACATGCAATGAAATAAGTATCTCATGGGGATGGTCTTCCAGTGCCACATCCACCAGCGAACTGGGAAACAGAAGAGATATCCTGCAAAGAATGCAATAAATTATCTTCATCCTCTTCATCTAGTAATGCTATTCCTGTGGCACCTCAACATAAACTGCCTCGTTTGATTACACAAGCAGATCTAAATTATCTGATTCGTGACTTGTCTCTATCAAAGCAGCATGAGGAATTTCTTGACAATGGAATTTATTAGCTCCACGAACAAGCTATAACACACATCTATAGGAGGTAAAAGCAGAGGATGTGAGGAAGTGTTTTATTATGGCTAGAATTGTTCTATAGTCTTCTGCTGTTGATGCTGATAACAAGGACTCAGAAGTCGACAGGCTTCTTAATAAAGTTTTGGAAATTGTTAAGATAGCAAGAAGTAGTCTTCACATTCAGGAAGCAATAACTATTGCGGATTATACCAGCGTAGGTGATGGTCTGTCTTTGTGAGGAGCTGAATACTGACTGGCAAAATAATCTTGTTCAGGAGACGCTAGAAGATCTGGATGACAATCTGGAAAGTGCTTCTTACAACAGCAATGAAAATGACACAGGCATTTCAACCACTGGGGTGCTGTGAAATTAATTCATGAGCTCCAGTTGTACTGTTCGAGAAAGAACATTGATGAAATACTCCATTTCTTTGAAATTTCAAAAGATGAACTTGAAAAGCAGATTTTGCATGTGAATGGTTCCATTGAATATTGTAGCCTAAAGAAATAAAAATGCTTAAAGATCAATTAATCATGTTTATAACTCTGTTTGGCAATTGAAATGTGAAATATGTGTTTTAAACTGAACTGGAAAATAACTAGTAAATAACATATTTTTAGTGCTTTTCGTTTAAATGACATTTTTATCTCTATTATAATACATTAATAAAAATGACTGACATCTATTACTAAGCCTAGCCTACTAATAATACCACTCTTCTACTGGCATTTCTTCATTTAATTTCACAAAATGTCAGATATATAATGTCAGCATCTTCCTCTTCATCAGTTGAGTCAAAAACACAGCACAGTGCCCTCAACTTCAAAGTCAACCTTCTCGTCCACCTTTGATCTCTCGAGCTACCAGCTCTCGAGAGACTGAGCGCTGGCATCAAATTCCAGCTTCTTAATACATCCCTTTCCCTTAGCTGTGTCATCAAGCTGCTACCGCTGTAGTTCTTTATTCACCTCCTTAAGTTGTTAATATATGTGATATAGACCAGTACAACCAAAAATGAATTGCTTTATACATTGCAGGTGTATGTACTACACTCATGACAAGTAACCAGGCTCAAATTTTTGTTTTAACGTTTGTTTTGAGGTACAACTACTTTAATTAACTGCTGATGTGCAAATTCGTGTGAATCAGTTATTACAGAATGCAATCAGACCATATGGTCCTGTGGATATTGTATTACATCTACACTTGTTAGAGAGTCATATATTAAATCCACTGAAAGCTGTACTTTTTTGCCTAAATGTAAGGAAAGTTGGAAAACAACCAGTCAAAAATGTATTTGACAGTTTAAGACTGTACTAAAATACTGAAAGATTAGCTTTGGCCCAGGATGACTCTCCAAAAAGGAGAACCTAGAACTTTCTGTTTGAATTTTTCCTGTTGTGTTAGTTTTATCCCCTGAGCAATATGTGCAGTATAGTGTAAACCATTTTGCAACCTTTCTATGTAAATAAATCCAGAAAATTGCTGACACACCACATGATATTTGAGGTATGTGACATTCCCTGATTCCCATCAGCACTGTATTGTACAATTTACAAAGTACATCCTGTTCTTAAGCTCCAGCTACTTCATAGATCGACTACCGTGTTTCAGTGTTTGTACAAAGTTTTATCAAGGGGAATATGAGTATAGAGAGGTTCAATATCAAAACTGGCCATAAATTATTGATCAGCAGAAGGAATTTTAGAGATTTCAGAAGCAAAAGTAAAAGTTGGGTTAACCACTATTCAGAGGTTATGAAGAATTCAAGCTAATTTCAATATTGCACCGAAATGAGGGTTTCTTTTGAGATGATTTAATTAAATATTTCAATCCATTCGTGTTATTCATAATTCAAGAAAAGATATTTGATTGTTGGTCGGGAGTAAAAGGAAAGACCATTTCATTTTTCAAAAAAGTGAAGTAAGAAGTTTCGGAAAAAGTGTGAATGATTTTTTGACTGAGAAAATAAGCAACCAAACAATCTCAGAGTTTTAGTGGTATATAGATAGATAGATTCTTCATGACCTTGTTTTTGTCATCTTATGCTATTTAATGAAGATGGGAACATTGACAGGGAAATAATATAATAGCCAATGCTCGGCGAGAGGTTTTCGTTTATAAAATTTTGTTGTTGTTCTCGACTTGATTTTTATTTTACTATCTCGTTTCCATAGTTACTATTGGCAAATAGTCAATAATATTGTAGGTCCATTTTATTGTTGTTCTTTCTAAGCGCTGTTATAACACATTTTCATCTCATCATTTAATTTCTGTTGTGCATATTGCTGTATAGAAGATATTTTAAAGTGATTCATCAGGTGGAAAACGAAGTTATATAATAATGGATTGTACGAAAAGTGACCCATAAACGGTGCTAACTCGGTAACCCGTGGCCCAAGTTTAACGAAACTTGTTTTATTCTGTTTGTATTCTCATTTCATTACAAATATGGCGGTATCGTGCGCCGTTTTGCTGTATTTAATTACAGACAAGCACACATACAAACAAACAAACAATCTCAGAGTTTTAGTAGTATATAGATAGATAGATATATAATGTATTTATTTTTGAGAGTTATCAGAGACTGTAGTTCAGCATGGTATAATGGAGAGGTTGGACGATAGGAGTTATATCTGTAGAAGGAGGAAAGAGCAATATTTTTAGTTTAGTTTTTACTAGGTCTTGCGCTGTATTGTTGTTGATTTAGTTAACAATGGAAAGGAAGTCATGGTTCTGTAAGCCTTTTCAAAATTATAAATATAATTAGCATAGTTGAGTTTGAAAGCTGGAATGCTAAAATTAAGGCCATTGATTAGAGTTTGTTTGCAAATGTCATCAAGTTGAAGATCAATCAGATTAAGTATTACATTTTCAGGATTAAAACCTAGAGATGAAGGTGAATAAAGTCGCAATTTTTGAAGTTCTCTTTTTTGGACTTGTTCCTGTCTGGCTATTCTTATGAATTAAGCACGTCAAAATGACAAAATCAATGTACGAAACCTACTTTTGAATATCTTGGCGTTGGCATTTTAGGTTAGATAGATGTTGTCAGTTGTACTTATTTTCCAGTTTACTTTCTTCCTCTAAAACTCGGCGTTGCCAGGCGGCGAATGCAGATGAGTTCCGGAGTTTGCCATGTGTTACTTTGAAACGAAGGGAAAATGACGTCAGTTTATGATGTCTGCATTCTGTAAGAGACTAGATATAGAAAATGGCTTTTTTAGTCTTTAAATCAATCTTTTCACAACATCTGAAAAGTAGTAGGGTGCTGGTCCCATACCGTCTGGTTATAATAACATTAGCAATGGATTCGTGATGGGGAAACCGAAGTCAAATAATGAAAATGAAGACGGTTGATAAAACACAAAACATTTTATTTACAAGATTCGAACGTTTCGGAATACATTAATTCCATCTTCAGCGAGATCTCCCTTCCTTTTATGGGTTCATAATCCCTACAAATTAAAAAACAACTATCTTCTCTAATATAATACTTCTACCCTCAAATTCAGCTCAGACTAATATACAGACATAGCCTCCACATTAAAAACATTTTTCAATACAAAAATCAACTAACTAAACTTCTACGTTCATTGGTCACGTACATTGGCAAAACAAAACGCGACTTAATTAAAAACTAGAGACATTGAATATTTAGGAATATCTAACAGAACCGACCGTCTATTACTTAAACTCAACCACTCATCCATTTGTTCACATTAGAAACCACGGGTCACAATACTTCATATAACAGTTTCTCTGTCGTTACCACGGGATCTTGAGACCTTGAACTCTACATTAAAGAAAGTTTACTCATAGCTAAAGACCCCCCCCCCCGACTCTTAACGACTTATAAAGCTCTTTAGATCTAAATTTGTTGTAAATTTTCACAGTTAAACTCAACTGTTGTGCAATATATCTACAATATTTTATTTTTTATTTTATCCTTCCGTTTACCACTTCTCTTAATAACTAAGTAAACTAGTGATTTATTATAGTTTTAGTTAATAATCATCTTCGTAACAAGATTTTCAGATTACGCTGAAGATGGAATGAATGTATTCCGAAACGTAAGAACATCGTAAATAAAATATTTTGTATTTTATCAACTGTCTTCATCTTCATTATTAGACTTCGGTTTCCCCATCGTGGATCCATTGCTAATTGTAAACATGCTTGGCTTTAAATATATATTTTATTCACGTTCTTTCTTATAAAGATCAGAATGCATTGTTTCATCAGTTGGATATCTTCGCTGTTAACAATATTTTGGGCACTTGATTTCTAAAACTAAATACACCACAGTACTTACATTAAGATTATGGCGATAGGATATCGATTATTATTATAGTAATTAATATATATGATCATCTAAGGCTAATTGGCAATTATTTGTCACTTTTTATACTTAATAAAATAGTGACTAATTAGTCATTAGTTGTAGGTGATTGTTTTGGCTACTAATCATGACAAGTAAATGCACCACAGTTTGATACAGAAAAAGAAAGATCAGTTTTTAAATTAGTAAAGAAAAGTGACATGTGGATGTAGCGTCTAAATCTAAGGTATAACCCCAAATTTAACGTTCGATTGAAAGCTCAATAATGTGCAAATCTCATTGGAGTAGCACAAGTTTAACAGCGGAAGTTGAGGTATTACCTTTAATATCTTTATTACGTTACAAAGTGGCAGAACGTGTTGATGAAATGAGACTGAGTGGGAGGAGGGGGATCTTACAATTTATTTAGATCCAGAAATTTTGCTTTCAGGTTGAAATTATTCTGGAAATCAGAAAAGTTTGATGCCAACATATTATGTTCAAAACTAGAAGAAAATATTACAATCTAATTCTCAATATTAAAACTTATATTCGTCGTCCCCTTGCACTGAACAATGGTTGCTTCCATATCCGGGAATCGAATTGACTAATCACTTATCAACGTCACAAAGTTTCTAGTTCTATTGGTGTACAACGTCACTGGTTCGAAAGTTAAGACTAATTCTGAGAAGTAATAAGTTGGTTAGAAAACTACGGTTGGACCTGTAATTTTACTGAAACAGGAGACTTTATTTCTGCTTGTATGTCTGCCAGTATCCAAAATTTGAAAACTTTTGGTAAGAGTTATTTATTTTGGATATTTTTAGAGTATCGGGAGAGGTGTGCGCACAATGGTACATACACTCTATGTTAAGCCTAATTCAGTACTTGTGGAGATGTTCTATCGACTTTACAGTTGACTAACTAAGTCTTAAGTTGATGGTAACCTATTTCGAAAGTGTTAATAAATTCTAAACTAATAATATTTATATATTATATAACGTGTGTGGGTCCACTGATGAATCAAGAATGTCCTAACTTCTGGTCTCTCGCAGTAAATCAAAATATATAGTCAGTACTTTCTTTCATGGTATTGATAATCACAAGCACTTGTCAACCCTATTGTTATAACTTGTAAGTTATGCTTTTGGAAAGTAGTCAGACATTACTACCCGAAAGTGGAACTTTATCTATAGTTACCACCTTGTTGGAGAAATAAAATAGCCTGAGTTTGACATCTGATATTTTTAACTCTTGAATTTAAATATCTCTTGTCTTACTGCCTTCATAATTTATGTTTCAGCATGAAAAAGTAGGATACGACATTTTTTTCAGTTTCTTGGAATACTCAACTTGAAGTTGAAAGACCTACAGCCATCCTCATAATCTTTTCAACCCTGGCATTGTCTTTACAAGTTGTATAGAGACCTATGTCTCTTTCGTAGGTGTTCATTCACAATTCTATTTTTTTAAACAATTTTTCAGCACAGGCTGTCCCTGGGAATGACCTCTTAACCATTTTGTGCTTATTATAGTTTTCATACTATAACTTTTAAATTAGTTGGCGATTGTCAACGCAATTTGCTTTCATATGCAAAATATCAATTTTTTTTTATTAAGTGTTAAGGTTTGTAAAGCAATGTTTTTCTCATGTCTTTTTTTTCTTTTCACATGTTGCCTATCTATCATGCAAAGTAATATTTGTTTTAAGATTAAAATACTTTTATGGATCAGAAAAATTTGAAATTTCACATGCAAAATCTTTATAATGTCTAGATAGTTATCAAATGTATCTTAAGAAAAAACTTTATATTTTATCTGATATTTTCAGTAATTAATCTCTGCACGGGTTTGGTAGATTTGACCAATCTTGCAACCACCATAAAAAATTAAGAAAAATGTAAATTATACCTCTTTCATTGTAGAATGAACAGAAATTATAATACAAAAACATAAATGTTTAGACTAAATAGCTTAAATTTCATAACATTATACATTTATATGTATTTATTTTTTATTATATTGACCTTTCAGCCTTGCCTGACTAACAATACGGAAGTTACAATGATGCAGCTCATGTGCACTTGTGTAACCATATCAAATAACATAAAACTGACCTTTGGTCTGTACAAAGTAATTTGTGTTTTAGTGGACCTGTATTTTGTAAAATACAGTCACATTTCAATTATTATACATAAAATATGTATATACATTATTATTATTCAGAAATAAGTTCTTAAACTTGTTTGCCTTAAAACATTGAACAGTAAATAAAAAAAGTAAAGCAAACAATTATCTCTTCTAGTTACGACCTTTGTACTTGGTTGCTGCTTGACATAGCTTGCTAAGCCTTTAAAAAATTTCCACGTGGAGGATATGAACATTTTTTTAGGTTTTATATCTACATTTGAATAACTAAAAATATCATAAATTACTACATTAATACCATAGAATTCCACTATGATTTATCAAGCTTAGTAACTAAGATGGATTTTAGTCTAAAAAATATAAAATTTCAAGCAGACACACCCTACCTTGTTGAAATATTGGTTCAAAAGAGAAAAAAAATGGCTGAGAAAGCTACTAGGGGAACATTCTGAGCTTCCGATTGGTTATTCATGTCATATATAGAAGT